GTTTTTAATACTAGCCTGGTTGCGACAATTGATTGAGTACCTAACATATCGTGCTACGTTTTCGCATTCTTAATATAAGTACTGCTACTGTTGCGTAGTACTAGTCCCGCACGGGTTGTATGCGGTCATCATACGCGTTACTAACGGGTACAGCCTTGCGATTCTGTTACTCATTTTTCGAACTCTCACAGCGGTTTTCGCAGCGGCGCGGCGGTTTAAATGACTGCTTCACGACTGATTTGAGTGCGACCGCCGCTGTGAAAACCGCTGTGTGAGTTCGAAAAGTGAGTTACAGAATCGCAAGGAAGGACACCATTGATCCGTTCAGTGGGCAAAGTTGACCGTGTCGTATGATTTTCCGTGTCTGTGCGTTCATAGCACGGTCATGTTACGATACGGTGTAATGGGTAGAGACCTTTAGAAAAACAGCAGCATCTTTCATGACAGACCCTCAATCGAATTGTTGCGGAGATATTTCCATTGTTAGGTACGGTTATAATGGTGGTGCGCGGCAAGTAGCTAAAAAAACGGGTTTGAATGTCATTGTCTCAATATTTGTTACAGATGGCCGATTGTTCTGTACGGCTGTGAAGCTTGGACAATTGAAAATATACCCACCGGCTCTTCAAAGCATTCGAGATGTGGTGTTATTGTCGCATGCTTCGTGTAAGCTGGATCCAGAAGGTCTCTAACGACAAGGTTCTTTAACGAGTTGGAATGTCGAGAAAACGTATGCAGAACATTAAACAACGGAAATTCGCGTACCTGGGCCACGTATTGCACCATGACCGCTACCACCTCCTTGAATTAATTATATTGGATAAATAAAAAAATAAAAATCAGTGGCGCTACAACCTTCTTAGGCGCTACAACCTTCTTAGGTCTGGGCCTCAGATTTCTGTATCTGTTTCATGACCATTTGTTAATCAAATAGGCAAGCAGGTGATCAGACTCGATCGAACCTACGACGACGAAACCACTAGGCCAACACTGCTCCACAATATTAGTAAATCAAGAAAAATCATAATGACTATAGGTTTTGCTTATTGACAAGAGATTTGACTTAACGGCTAATTTTGTATATTTATTTATTTATACTTTATTACCTTAATGAAAAACATACACATAACAAAAATAAAAAACAGGGTACAAAAGTTATAAGGCAACGGGCGGCCTTATCGCTAACAAGCGATTTCTTCCTGGCAACCCTAAAGTGGAACAATGAAAAAGAAACACCTACAGAGGGTAGAGTGAGTACAAGTAATGCAAAAATTATTAACAAAAAAAAACTCAAAATAACACGTTACTATATCTAAAATAAAATCTAAAGATAAAATAACAATAATAATAAATAAAAATATGTAGAAACAACAAATTTAAAATACAATCAAAAGGTTAACAGAGTCACAATAATTAATACATATCAGCAGAGCTAATTACGATAGTATATTAAATTATCAGAAGTTAAATTTGTTTGTTTTGTATATTTATAGATGTTAGATTTTATATGCCTATTAAGTTAATATAATGATTGGTTTTGATCCTAGCTCCCGGCATATCATGAAATAGATATCTGTTTTATTACACTCCCCAATAGAGCAAAAGCGACGACGCGAGTACAAAAGTTTTGGAATTGCTAAACTGTCTACATGGTTACTGCTACGGAACGGTCAGCGATGTATTATTCAGGGCAACTGCAAACAACTCAACTAGCCCTTCTACGTATTTTATATTGAGTTTAGACTAGTTGGGCATTTCGTTCAATGAAATATTGATGAGGCCAGACTTAAAGAGAAATGAAATACTGTCTAATAAAGGCTTTGGTTTCGGTATTTGAATTTCGAAGTAGTTTACATCTTTGCTTTATATTGACTATTGACATGGTGTCACCGTTTGTCGAGGTAAAAAAGTTTGAAGATATTACATTTTAAATTTAGAACTTTAAGACTCGACAGGATTAAAAATAATATTCTTTAATAGAAGATTACTACGAAAATTGACTCCGATTAAGCTACCTGTGAGCGTTTGGTGGACTAGTGCCGGGGTCGTTCACTATAACTTTCTTAAATCTGGCCAGACTATTACGGCAGATGTCTATTGTCAGCAACTGCAAATCATGATGGAAAAGGCCTCTAGGCCATTGCTGCTTCACAACAACGCTAGACCACACACTGCACAACAGACTGCTACAAATTTAGAGGAGCTTCAATTGGAATGTAATAAGTTTACTAGAATATAACATACGCACAATGTTAATACACGGAACAAACGCAGGCTGCAATTTCCCCGAACTAGACTATCTAAGGGTAGTAATACTTTTTTGGGAAAAGGGATACTCTTCTTTAATAAAATCCCAGAGGCTCTTTTATCTCTGCCTTTCAATAAATTTAAGAAATGTATTAAAGAAAAGCTGTGTAAAAAGGCTTACTATAAAGTCAACGATTATCTAGTTGATAAAAGGGCCAGGGACTAGTGCTAGACAGGCTACTTTTAATTAATTTGCGATGTTTGTTTTAAAATAAGTGTTGTTTGATGATTTGCTTTTTTTTAAGAGTACCGAGAGTTTTTTACGCCGGCTTTTTTTCTCCGCCTACACCCTCTGTCTTCTTTGCCGATGAGTAGGGATGCCTACAAATTCAAATTTAATGACGTGCAATAAGTGATACATGTATCTTATGTTCCTTAATAAACATACTTTTTTTTTAATGTCTAAGACTCCGTACCGTACTCCCCAGATCCAACAGATTACCATTTTTTTTAAATGTTTGCAAGGTTAAAAATTCAACTCTGATGGGGCAGTCGAAACAGCCTTCAAAGATTTTATTGATTCCCGTCCGAATGTTTTTTTTAGTAAAGTGATCAATGATTTACCGAGTGAGCAGTGGTACATACTTTAAGTAAGTAAATATGTTCTATGTAAAAAAATCTATTTTTTGTTCTTTTCATACAAAACGCCAATTTCACATGTAACGACCTAATATATAAAAAATCCTAACCTTTAAAGGTCCCTCTGTATCTTCTACCGCTATTATCATGGAGAGTGTTCAGAGGAGTTGTTTGGACTAATACCTACAGCTCAGTTTCAACATCGGACGTCAATGCAGAATGCAAAATAACATCCGTATCAGCTCGACTTCCGTCGTTCCACAACTGAGCGTTTCTTAAGGCATTTTTTGCCGCGCACCACCATTATGTGGAAACAGCTGCCCACTGAAGTATATCCGAACCAATTCGACTAAGGGTCCTCCAAAAAAAGAGCGTACTAAAACGTACTAAAAGAGCGTAATTCTTAAACGGCCGGCAACGCATTTGCGAGCCTTCTGGAAATGTGAGTGTCCATGGGCAGCGGTATAACTTAACACCAGATGAACCTCCTGCTCGTTTGCCTTCTGTTACATAAAAAAAAACAGTTTTTCTCACCATAATGATACGATGAATTCACTATTAGATATTATTAGTTACATTCAGGTATCATTAAAAAATAAAACAAAATATGTATTTAATTAAAAGCTATATTCTATTTGATATAAGTAAATAGTAGGGCATTACATAAAGGGAACATCTAAAATTATACATGAGTTAAATAGATTAATCTTGAATAAAAGTCAAAATCTTATTCTAACACAGCCAAATATCCAAATTATGATTATTTTGGCAACACTTCAAAAGGCTTACGCATCAAACTGTAAAACTCCTAAATTTTTGGTTAAGTCGGTTAAATAGGGAGTTTAGAACTAATATTGCCTTTGGAGCACGAACTAATATGAGCAAAACACATTAATATTAAACTTAACATTTAAACACTTTCTGCCACTGACCACGATTGCAGCAATCAAAACCTTAAGTTATGTAAATAATGTAATAAATTCACATTCATATCAGTTAAAGAAAGTTTTCAGATCTTATTAATGTCCTGACTCGTTTAATCTGTCATCTTTATTTATTTCTTGTGAGGGATTATGACGAAAAGAAAAAACAAGAAATATTCGTACATTTAACGCTCAATTAATAGCTATGGTGTACTTATTATTTACTTAATCTTTGTATATGGTATGGTATGACAAGAATGGTATATAACGAGTAACCTCCAAATGCAGAATTAAATTACATTTCCCTTATAAAAAAGGACTATAAGGATAAATATTATGTAAAATCATATGCATATATATCCATTTCAGGACCCATTTTTATCGGTTATGATATATAGACAGGATTTTTTACATTTGAAGTCTAGGAAAAAGATATGCAACAGATCAAGTGTAAGGAATGAAAGATTACGTTATTTTCAACATGTGACGAGAGTGTTTAAATATTACAAATATATAAATAAGAAAGCTTCATATTCTATAACCCAATTATAATAATTAGTTGAATCTTGCAACTGTAACCTGCACAATATATAATGGAACTACAGTGCCCCAACACTCGTTTTCACATTTATTATAGATCCATTGTCACCACCCTATTATTGTAATCCACTTAGGTTAAGATTCAGTGTAGTTACTCTGTGATTAATTACGTCTTCCAGTTTTATTAATGGTACCAAAAACTTTGCGTGGGTCGACAATACGTATCGTATTCTAATAAATTACAATCGACATTATAGTCACGCGATTGTAAGAATATAAATTTAACTAAGAATAAGCCGAAACCTCCGTCATTATACGTTTCAACAGTTGTTTCCAGCTAAACTATGAACTCTAATCTAAGTCGAAGTCTTAGTTTAATCTTATAAAACTCACAGCCTCTTTGGCTTAGATGAATACATTATTACGATATATTACATAAATAGATGGGTTTAAATTATAAACAATGATATAGGTGCTCTTTTGTAATTTTATTAAAATAAGGAGACAAAATTTTATCATTTACGGAAACATCAAATAAAAAATTGGTTGTTTATCATCAGATTAATTGAATATAAATAAACTCCCATCATGTCTACAATCCTAGTAACATCAACTTAAGTACTTATGTGTGCTTATAACTTTTGTTTTTTTTTAAGAACCACCACTCTCAACCGGTAGAAATTGCTGCTGTGCGACGGATGACAGCACCATGTCAATTGGTTTGGTGTCATCGTAAAGTGAAGGAGCCTCACAGAGAATGGCGAAGGTGCCAACTATTGATGCTATGGTAAAAATCCAGAGAAACAGCCGGTCAAGTACCATAGCCACAAATCCCCAGTCTTGATCTTCCTGTAGAAGAAATATTATTAGATTGCTAAACGCACTAAAACATAATTGTTTCTAAAAACTAAAACAAAAAGGGCATTGGCTAATTAGATTAGATAGATTAAGCTAAAATTATTCCGGTTAAATTTCTGTTCAATAGAAAAAAACAACAAATTTATATTGTAAAACGAAATTCATAGCATACACAGCATTCATTAAATTTATGTAGGTACTATAATTTTTTTAGCTAAAATAGGAAAAAAAATACTTACCGCGTTAAATTCGTCCTGTCTTTGCATGTGATGTTGAATAAACATAACGTTGTGGATTGCCTTCTCTAATTCAAATGGGTACTTCTTCCGTGGCGTGATGTCACTTAGTGAATCATCTAGACCAGACATAACTGATGGAAGACCGTTGTAGCCGGCACCAAGGCTTCCAAGAGCTCCAACCAGACCACTGAATCTATAAGTTATATTCTTTAGTCACTAATGAATACGTTTACGTATGTATAAAGAAAATGAAAAAGAAATCATTATATTTCTTAAATTAGATTATTCATTATCTATTTTGTTTTTATAAATGTTCATTTAGTTTTTTTTGTTAGTCCTTGGAAAATACATTAGTTTTGTTTGTCTATGTATGTGTCATTTTGAATTTGAATACGAAGTGTTTGCTGTGAGTACATTTTTAATTGATTATAAAAGAAATGGGATAAAAGTAATTTGCAACACATTTGAGGTTAACTCCCTTATATAAATAAAAAACGTGAGTGTAGCTATGTAGACGCGTTAGAAGTTATACTTCTTCGGCGTAACAAGATAAAAATCTTTTCGAAAATTTTATCTTATTCTTAATATACTAATTATTCTATATAAAAAAATATATTTCCGTAATCATACAAAAGGGCAGGGGCAGATAAAATTTGAATCTTTTTTATTGAAAACAGGAGAGATTTTTTAGCATGGCGATTTTGGATAAGCAGTGGCCTAGTGTGTAGTAGCACGGTAGTAGGTTCGAACCCTGGCTGTTTAACTCTCTCTAGTACGGCACTGAAAATATCCTGAGGTATTGAAGGAAAAGAGAAAGATTCAGAATTCGACGTCGTTTGTAGGGCACAGGTGGTTGATTACCGGATAGGTATATTATTGGAAGAAAGTGTCTGTTAGAAAAAAAAATGTTCACGAAACATACAGAAATATGAGACCAACGGTCGAAGTGCCACTGGTATTTTGGACGATATGGGTTTTTTTGAATCATATTCTAATAAAAATAACTGACCAATAAATAATAACCGTGTCTTACCTATTAGTAGCAGTTGTGGAATGAAGACCATTACAGCCTCCTGGCAAATGATGACGTAAGGAATCAGGACTGGAAGAATTCGAATGTGTTCTTTCAACTGCCGCAAGCGCATCCTTGAATTTGTTCTTCTTCTTACCGCGCCCAATAATCTTCTGCGCTGCTAGATCTCTTAGCAAATCCTTCGGTACCCGCATAAGGAGTAATTTAGGTAGCATCGTTATAAAGAAAGTTCTGACCCAAGGCGCCATTTCATGTGTACTAGGCTTTCGGTAGTGGACGTTCAATATTATTATAGTGATTACAACTGATAGACCTACCAGCAACATTGTAAATAGAAGATACTTTCCCAAGAGCGGTAAAGCAAGTGAAGTAGAGGGTATGATCTCTGATATCAGTAAGAAGAACATAGTCTGGGAGAGAAGGATAGATATACTCAATGCAATCTTTTCTCCCGAATCCGCTGGTAGGTAGAAGACAAGGACAGAGAGATATGAAATGCCCACGCACGGTACGATGAGGTTTACAGTGTAGAATAAAGTTTTCCTTCTGAGAGTTATGTTGAAGAAAATATCTGAAAAAATAAATTGTTTAAGTGATCATTTTTACTTTAAGTTCTCCTGAGAAAAATTTACTAAAACCAGTTTTAATTTGTCTTGGCAAATTTTTCTTAATATACGTATACCTATTGTTGCAATAGCAAATTTTTGTTTGTTTTATTTCTACTGTGTTATGGTATTTTGTACAATGAGTGATGACGTCATACCCCAAACCGCTCTAACGAAGTTTATGGCCGCTAAGGATATATACAATTTCTCGAACATAGCCAGTAGAGCCTTCGGGCAAGCCAGGATATACTGTTCAATGATCCTTCCTTTAGGTGAGGAACAGTACATCATCCTTCTCCACAATATGTATGTAAGTAAAATAATTTGCGTTTGTAGTACGTTCACATACGCAAATTATTTTCTAATTAATATATTGTACTAATTATGTTTAAATAATATTTAATACTAATTATTACTATTTACAGCATTTACAATTTTCTTAACCTACATAGTAATAATAAAAATGATTAAAAAGTAATTAAAACAAATTTAAAGAGTTTGGTCCCTGTGGCAGTGTAACTTTAACGCTGGCAGCATTTCCTCGTTGCGATACTTATTCATTGAGCGAGGAAAGCACCAGCTCTGGGGTCACCGGTACTATCTGTCTATCTTATTTGATTGTTATGTTTTTAATAAACGATATATTATTACTTTATACTAAAATACTAAATTAATGTTAGTAACTCATTCAGCTTGTCATCTCGCACAAAAAGTTTTGTTTGATAACAAGGTATTAATAGAAAATTTAATTAAACACACATTTATAAAATCTGCGTCAGATAAAAGCCTTTCAGACTCCATAATCACGCATTTTGTACCCCTTCATTTCGCAAACGATTCTCTGGAGACATCCAACTTTTTTCGTTAAATTAAGAGCGGAATTCATTATATGCTTGATGAGATTTATAAATAGACGTCTTTTTAAATAATGCCTACACCTGTTAAAGCCTCCTAAAACATGTATAAGTGTCTAAATATATATTTGAAATAAATAATTTCTTACCTACTAAGTTACGCGTCTAATTCTCAATCCTTGGGTCATTTTACTCTTTTTAATATAAAAAAACATTGGAAGAAAACCGGCATATCGGGGAAAACAATACCTAAGCTTACTCATAGCCTTGACTATAAACAATCGAAATATATAAAACAAAGTCGTGTTAGTTACACCACTTATAACTCAAGATCAGCTGGACCGATGTTATTTATCTCTTTTTTGGTGGATTCTTCTCCGCTCCGAATAGCAGAATAAGTAATAGAATATCGGATAAGTTATCGAATAAAAATAAATAAATTAATTAATTTTACGAATGCAAACAGCATGTGGTGCCATCTGTTGACAAAATTACGCATATTAAAGAAACCTACCACTTTGTTCTTGCGCCGGATAACAAACAAAATGTTGTATATCAGAAAGTGCTATAACATGCAGTATTGCAGTTAGGAATAAAACAACACAAATCCCACTGGCCCGGTAAAACAGCCCCACAAATATCATTCGACTCAGTTCCTACCACTATCAAAATAAAGGATACCCATTCACATGAAAACAAAAGACCGAAAAGAATTCCAAAAGGTGAAATATGTTTTTCTTTAAGGTGAAACAACTGACATTAATCAGTCCGCTATCAGTATTCACGCGGTGCGCAAGCTAAGTGCTCTTTGTGGGTATTAGCAAAACAAGGGTAACCTGCGAGCTATGGTTATTTAGGGTAGATAAGAGTCGTCGACGCAATTTACACCCAAGATTAGCCGTTGCTCGGATTTCTTATGACCGTGATACGTCTTTATAGGATTCTAAACTTAAAATCCGTGATTCTTCGGTAAACATTAAATTCTCTAAAGAGATATTTCATTTTGTTATATCGAATAAGCTCCATGTCTAGAATTCTTCAAATCTATGGAACTGATTTCACAAATTTTCTCACGATAACAATCCTACATAACAACATTAAATTCTCTAAAGAAAGAGATATTTCATTTTGTTATATCGATTACGCTCTATATCAAGAATTCTTCAATTCTATGGAACTGATTTGAAAAATTCTCTTCTTCATTATTCCTGTTGAATGTAGAAATAATCAGTGGCGCTAAAACCTTTTTACTTGACACACGTCGTTAACTTTTTGAGTTACATGCCGGTTTCCTCACGATGTTTTTCTTCACCGTCCGAGTTATATATGCACATAGAAAAAAAAGTCCATTTGTGCACAGCTGGGGATCGAAGCTACGGCCTCAGGGATGAGTGTCACACGCTAAAGCCATTAGGCTAACACTGACCCTGTTGAATATAGAATATTTTGAAAAAAGTTGGGGATCCATATGAAAACGACGATAATAAAATAACCCAAAGTGAAACTAATAAAAATCTCTATATATCGTATGCTGTGGACTATTGACAATAAAGTAATGTGATGTACTACTATTTTATAGACATAAATATCTACTAAGCGTTAGCGTGTATATGTTACATATTTAATAAAATAAATATCCAGCCGTGCGTAATAGACTGAATGTTGCTTTTTTAAAAGTACGTTTTAATTTTTACATTATCCTTCCATCGTTATTATCTGTATGGATTTATAGAAGAATAAATATAGTGCATGTATGGAGAGTAATGTCATTGGTAAATACAGAAAGATTCCTCCACTATTACTACTGGTAATAGTGTTTAGTTAATGTATACCTATTAAAGTACTAATGTATTGTAATTAACCTTAATATACCGTAGTAAAACTCGCGAATTGTCGGGATACTAGTATTTTTAAATAGATATAAAAGCTTATTCAATAACTATAGTATTGATATTCATAATCATTTATTAAGGTTTACAAATACTTAAACTTGAGTTAGTAGAAAACTTCCTAAATTGATTCAATCTCCTTCTTAAATAAGTTGCGTTTTGCGATAAATAATTTAATTTTGACGTGACAACGTCTTAAGGTCAGTACTCACATACGGTATTACTCGATCTAACTAAACTGTCGAGTAAAACCCATGGCATGGGCTTTCGTCCACACATTGAGCCTTGATCTATCGAGTGAAGGCGCTTCAGTATTCACCGAACCGTTCGAGCCGAAGGATTCTGTGCAACTAACAGGACACGGCCTCCGCTGTATTCAGCAAGTCTCGACAGTGCTTTATAATGAAAATCAAAGAAAATGAAAAGAAAACGTATCGATAGTATTGCTAATCGATAATTTATCATGACATTCATTTCTCTCTTTTTTGGGATATCCTTGACTAACATTCCATAAACGCTAAAAACTGTCTTTGTGAAAAATAAAGTCTTCCATAGGCTTTTGAAATCCATTTCTCTTAAAAACACGTGTTTGGTGCAATAACGATAAACAAAACCTGACTGACGCTGGTCCTCGCGGCACTCGGGGTAATACACACGTTCGAGTCTCTAAGATTGACGGCTCGCTTCGAGTTGGTCAGAAGGAAATTACTTTAATTTAATTCCATCGAGCCGGCTTCGGTGCCATGCCTTCTTGCTTGTGAGTTTTGTGGTCCACATGTTGATCTGTAATCGATATTCGAGTAAAACTATCGGAGTAATACCGTATGTTAGTACTAGACCTTTAAAATTCGATGGAGCCCTTCACACAACAAACATGACGCATGCGGCGTTACCTCGCTTTGAGGCGTTCCATTTAAGGCTTGAAGTCATAGCGATAGCGCGGAACGAGCAACTAACTGGCACGAAGTCGGCCTCCGCGTTCGGCTTGAACCATTGGACATCTTTATGTGTACATTTAAAGTATGTAATCGTATTAATCGATTATATTGTAATCGAATTGATCGGATTGTGATTCCCATTTAGCCACCGTCTCTATATCCATACAAAAATATCTGATCACAACAAATAAAATAAAAATTTTTGAAAATGCAACCATTCCATCAGACTAAGGACCGACTTTAAAGACGACCGTTTTTCAAGTCAGTGTAAAAACAACACAAACCTGGATATGGTTCCTGCAGAGGGATAAATCTTCGTGTCACTCATCATGTACTTTCCAAGGATATCCCATTCGACAGATGGACAATACTCACGTAAATCAGGTACAACTTTTCGATATCTACTCTTTGTTTAAGTGCGTCGAAGTCAATCAAAAAGTGATTTCTTGAAAAAACCCGGACTCAAGAACTAAATGTTCGTAATAGACAATAAATTAATATAACCTATAAATATTCTTGCCTTGAATGCAAGGACTCCATCAATACTAATCATGTGATCATTATTAAAAAATAATGATGTAGTTTTTCGAATTTTAATCAAGAATTAGTAAAAAGACTTTTTTCTAAAAAGCGCAATTAAATATCACTCTCAGGCGTTAAGGAAGGACATCGTAGAAACAAGCTTTGCAGCTTTTGACCCAAAAAGTCGACCTCGAGTGTCCCAATCCCCGGAGGCTGATCCACGACTTTTGCCTATATATGGAATATGTGAATATTACAGAAATCTGATCCTCTGTGCAAAAAAGTTTGTGATTGTGTTTTAAAATCAAACAGTCCAGGTTTATAAAAATTTTATGACCAAATTTACTGACGAAAAATTTAAATACTTTAAAGCTGCAATAACTCACTTGATCACCATCGTAACTCCATGATCCAAACTTCAAAAAGCAGGTCTGCTGATCGAAGGGGAAGTAACGAACGTCGATCTCACAGGAAGACTTAAAAATGGCGGGTGGTGTCCACAGGACCTTGCCGGTGTAATGGAGTACAGCCTTTGTCATGGTTGTCACCACGTACTCTCCGTCGGCGCTAATAACAAAATATTACACTTAAGAATTTATATATAAGAGCGCAACCATTTTCAATATGTACTTAAAAATAATTAAAATTACAATTAAAAGTAAATAAATATATCACTAATTATAAAATAATAGGCCTAATAAAGTATTTATATTATTATTAATCTTAACCTACATAATAATAATAAAATAAATTTGGCACTGAGGCACTGCACCGTTACCTCGCTATATTGCGATATTTTTCATTGAGCGAAGAAAGCACCAGCTTTGGGGTCATTGGTACTGGCTCCCAGGCGCCAACTTAATTTTTTAATTAGTACCTGTTTACTTGAAATCCACGGTCCAAGAGTCTCTTCTCCAAAGGAAACATTGAAAGAAAGGACTCTTTAGCAAAACTAAACCTTGAAACGTCTAAAGGAAATAGGAATATAATATAGGCGTAAACTATCTTAATTGTTAATTAGCTTACATACAAACATACTTCTACTTATTAAAATAGACACATTCTCCATAAGTGATCCATTATCTCATAAATCAGCCTCATTTAATGTTATTATCCTAACGATAATTTGACGTTATTAGGCTGAAATAAAATATAACGTCATAACGCACGTAAAGTTAATTGATAATATCGACAAGAAATGTTGGGAAATGATACATCATGTTGTGTCAGAACAGACCAGGCGGCTATTAATCATAACGTAGAATGGAATGGAAGACGCATGTGCGACCAATCTTACGCTCTGTGTGCTCGGAGTGTCGGGTGTAAGTAGTAGCGGATATAATCAAACAAACAATTGTTTGTTTTGGGAGATGTGACCAAAATCGTTCTACGCTCCCACAATGCCCTTGCAAAGAGTTATTTGTGACATTTGAAAATGGACCTTTCGTGAAAAGTTATACTAAAACCAAACTGATAAATATTATACTAGACCAGGCCTTTAAAAAGAATAAAAAGTGAAAAAAAAATAATAGTAGGATGAAACCCATTGGAAAAGGAGGTATTATAAAAATGAAAGGAAAAATAATTTATGGTCGATCTGAGGTCGGGAAGGGGAAGGGGTGAGTTTTAAGAATTAAGAGTAAAAAACGGCTTTTCTCGATTTCCAGAAAAATCCTAAAAAAGTCAAATGGCAAAGTTGTAGATAATAAAAAGATCTAAAACTTTTGTATAAATACTTTGTTTTGAAATCATACATAAAGTAACGAGTGGAGTTTGTATTCCAAGAAAAAGTATTAACAACAGTTTAATTTATATTTAAAAAAAAATCATAACTTTTTTTTTTCTCTGCGGGTATTTGCAATCAGCCCTAAGGCTATGAGCGAAATTGTTCTGTGCTGCTGTTATGTGGAGTGACTTCCCATTGGAAGCATCTACTCATCTTCTGTCTAGAGCCACTGCCTGTCTTCTAGCTCTAGAATATGGTGACATTTTAGTCGACTCATATACTGTCTAATAGTGAGTTGGCGAGCAAGTTCGTTTGGGTGACAGCTTAACCGCTCTTTGTATTTAGCTGCCAGTCTCCGGATTTCCTCTTTAATAGTCCTCATTTTAAGGTGTTCGTGAACTCCGTTGTTGGTTATGTAACATGGTATTTTTGCAATTGCTCTTAGGATCTTGTTCTGTTGTCGCTGGAGTATGTTTAAGTTGGTATCACTTGCGCTGCCCCACAGTTAATAAAACAAATTTTTAAAATTCATAATTCTGTTTAGTTCTATTAAAGTCTTGTGTTATTATTAGAAGGATATATGAGTAGATCTATCAATCAGGCGTAATTTTTATCTTCCACAATTATTAAACACACCAGAATTGCTCTTTTAAGAAACATCCGACACTTATGAATCCTAATTTTACATTTGGTCATAAATTCCAATTATTTGCCTTGCGCTGAAACTAAATACCTTTAAACGCTTTACGCTCTATGCTATCACTGCGTCCATACGTCGTCCTTTACGTGCGAGTTGCTTTCTGATGAGTATGAAGGGATTGTCACGGAAGACGATCACTATGATGTATAGTTAAACGATAAAACGGTTTATAAATCAATAAACTATTCTATAGTAATATTATGTTTTAGCAAAAATATTGTGCTAAGCTTAGTTCTTTATATTTTATTGAAAAAGGGTTACGCAATCTTTGGACAATGGATGTGTAAGGTACATACAACTATGTATATTTTATGAAGGTTTCGCTAAGGTGTTATAAATGTAAGCGCAATAAAAAACGTTACTATTCTACAGCAAAAAATATATTTCCAAAAATTTGATAGAGATTTGATTGTTTTAGGTAATTTTTATAAAAGTACTAGCTGCCCCCGCTTCGTTTCTCCTTAATGCCTAGCCTAGCTTTTTAGTACGTACCAACATGGAAAATTTTGCTATGCTACCCAGAGATTGTTCGGTTTTCCGGAATGAAAACTTTTTAGGTTTTTCTGTGATTTTTTCTCTATATTAACCGGGGAACTCAAGTCATAAGATTTTAATTAACAAATAAAAAGTAGGGCTTGATCGTAGAGGGGTGAAAGTTAAGGGTTGTATGTATTTTTGTATGCTGTATCATAAAAAAAGAAAAACAAAAAAAAATCTAAGAAATAAAAAAGTTTTTTTGGGGTGGACACCCCTTATCACTTAGGGGTTTGAAAGATAGATAGTAGCCGATTCTCAGACTTACTGAATATGCAAAAAAAAATACATAAGAATCGCTCGAGCCATTTCAGAGGAGTATGGAAACGAACATTTTATACCTTGAATACAATTGAATTTTATATACCTATTAGATTATTATTCATACACTTTCATATTAAATAATACCCTATTGAGCAATCTTAAGGCTTCTATTACAGCCATACTCAAAGTTGTAGCGACACCTACAATCAGAGGCATCAGTGACAGTGTTGAGAATATATACAACTTCACGACTTTTGTCACTGGAGGGCCCACCTTGGGCTTGCAGGCGAGCCGCCAGTCTGCCCAATACCACCGATCGCGACACACCAGGGCCAAGTCGAGAATACTCCTTGGCCCTACATATCACCGGATTGACACCCCGGACATGACCCCAACTTCGACAGCGCGCAGAGTGGTTATACTGGATGAGGATCCTTTAGGTTAGAGGAATCAGTACTTTCCTTCCTCCATAATATCCACCGTGAAATTAACTGATCATATAATTAGTGCACGATAGTCTTAAGTGCTTAATAGTGGCAGCAGTGGCATAACAATATGGCGGTAGGGCTGGCAAAATGCCATGGGCCCCCGACCCAAGAGGGCCCCTGCCCAAGAGATATTATGTTCTATGGATGAATGTGAAGTCTTCAATACGCATTGAGCTAGCGTGGAGACTACAGACCATTCCCTCTCGCCTAAGGGGCCGTCTCCACAAGCGAGAGAATCGCGACGAGTCCGCGTTTTTATCGTCGGGTAATCTCCACGAACGAGCGATTATTCCGCCAGCGTATCGTCGCGATTCGTAACGGAATCACAGCGTATCCGCAACGACTCGTAACGGAATCGCCGAGTTTCTTTGACGACACGTTGTGCTCTTATTTTGTTCAGTGTTCATTTAGAGTACAGTGGTGCAAGACGAGACCGAAATAAGTAGTGCCTAAATCAGTCAATAAAATAATTATTTACTAGGGATGTATTGTTTTTATTGATGTATGGTCACGCACGTCGCGCGCTCTCTGCGAGAGCGCCACGTTCTGCGGCGAGTGCGCGACGTGCGCGCCACCAGTAGCGACAGGCTCGCAGCGATGTAATGACGTTTTGCTCGCACTCAACCACCTGTCGCATCGCCGCGTTAAGATCGCCGTGTGGAGACACGTTCTATGATATTGTATAGAAATGCGTGGCAGGACGATTGTATCGTCGCGATTCTCTCGCTTGTGGAGACGGCCCCTAAGAGAGGAGGCCTATGGCCATTAGTGGGACATATACAACATGTAATTGAGTACTCTGAAAATCTCGAAGTTTGGATATTAAAATTAAACTGAGTACAACGTGACGATTTTTACTCATAGGGCCCCATCAAAAGAATTTGCCACGGGCCCCAGATGGTATAGTTACACCACTGGTAGTAAGTGAAAAAATAACTCAACAAAAGAGTGTCATCCTCTTAATAAAGACTGTAATAGTGTAATTGGACACTTTCTTATGTTAAAATTACTTATTAGTCTTAAGTTAGGCTGGATTGTAATGTACCATGATATCCCAGTGAAAAAAAAATGAGTAAACAAAAAAAGAAAAAGTAAATTAATCCATGGCGGACTTAATTCATAATTGTATCTCTACAAAATGTCCTAAGCATCCGGTAACTCTTGTAAACGGTTAATTTATATAATATTTTCAAAATATTTTGTCCAAACAGAACAATATAAAAATATATGAAAAATATCAGTTATAATTCCAGCTAAAACTTTCCATCTACTTTAAAAGCTTTTTACTTTATGTCGTACTAACAAAATGCAAGTTGGCTACGGAAATGAGTTCGGATCCCCGAGGAATATAAGGAAAAGATTTATATCTTGAGGAATTCTTATCCTAAATATTTACATGGATAGGGAATGTAACCCATCGCTCGGAGCATGACCCAAATCAACTGGGCAGTGATTGAAAGTTTAAGCAACGATTTGGAGTGAAATATTTTTGTTAAGAATTTGTTAAATGCGATCGCTATTTTATCACTAAGGAATTTATAGAACACTTAAATATTTAGTTATTAGGTTATATAATAATAGTATCAATAAAAACCTTTTATTTAAGATACTTTACATTTATATAATCTCATGTATTCCTAGAAAACTGTATGCTCTTTTTTGACAAAGGCCTCCTCTAAATCTCGCCATTTCTGTCTGCACTGTGCCACTCTCTGCCATGTATTAGCTGTTTCCTTAATCTGCTCTATTCTTCTGAATTGTCTTTCTCTTTTGCGTTTATTGTACCTTTGGCACAAGTTTAATACTTTGTTGCTCCACTTTTCTATTTCTCTTCCCACGTGTCCCGCCTATTTCCTAGTTTATTTATTTTCATTGTGACATCTGCTACATTAGTTTTTCTTCTACCATTACTTTTAATGATGTATTATTTATTTTGTCTATTCTTCTCTTCCGAATCATAAATTGTTCCATCGGTCTTTGACACACCTGTAGTTTTGTATGCTGCGCTTTAGGGACCATCCAAGTTTGAGATCAATATGCGCTGTCAGTTATAAGCCTAGTATTTAATATATACGCTGTTGTTTTGAAAATAATAATCTAAGTACCTTCTCTTAAAAACCTATAAATCTAAACCTACTACTTTTACTTAAGTATATATTTATTCTATGTCTATCAATTTAATCAGATTCTAGGATAGTAACTAAATTTTCTTATGAAGAATCGAAAATATTCAGCGCATTTGAGGCAGTTTTTTATTGGAATTTATTTAATACTAAAGCGAAAAATCATAGAGTAAAATTTAAAGTGCCGATACGTCTCTGGAACGTATCCGTATCCGACAAGATGAAATAGTAGTTCGACACGCCTGTTTCTAAATTATGGCTGTACACGAGAGGCTATTTTACCATGCCATTGGCATAACGGTCATTTTCTTTCTTTATTCAAAATTTATTCAATGAATTACATTGTTTTAGCAAGTATTGGAGCCCCTGAACTAAGTCTGGAGACCTGTACATCAGGGTACACCACTCATCGACGGTTAAATGAAATTGTAACTTAGCAATCGTTACTAAAATATTATATAAAGATTTAAATACATTAAATTTGTTTAGTAATTTTCTAAAATGTAACATTAAGGATCGAAATTTATTATAGACTAGCTGACCCGGCTAACTTCGATCCGCCTAACAGTCTAATAATATCGTGTTAACTTTAAAGATTTCGGATTTCATTAAGGTAATAACTTCAATACAACTTTTTTGCAAATACAGCCCTGTGATTCTGTAACTCACTTTTCGAACTCACACAGCGGTTTTCGCATCGGCGGTCGCTCTCAAATCACTCGTGAAGCAGTCATTTTATGATTTGGCATTCTGATAAACAATAAACTACAAGCTCCCACCTTTTCAGCATGTTAAAGCACTTTCTGATATACAAAATTTTTTGATGATGTAACACATGTCTTCGATCAAGCCTAATTCGAATTTCTTGAACTGACACGAATTCAATGTAAAATGATGCGTAGTTTTGTCAACAGATGGCACCACATGCTGTTTGCATTCGTAAAATTAATTAATTAATTTATTGTTATTCGATAACTTTTTCGATATTTTATTACTTAACAAGAGATAAATAACATCGGTCCAGCCGATCTTGAGTTAGTGGTGTAACTAACACGACTTTGTTTTATATATTTAGATTAACAGTCGACAGATGTGTGTGTGTGACGGTTTCTAATAATGTATAAAAATTATATTTGGTTTAATTAAACAGTAACTATTTACTTCGAAGTTAGCTTATAAATATGTATAAAATAACACTATGTAAGCATTACTCTATATAAACTGTCTTCAGTAGTCTGTCTGCAATGCGTACGTTTGTGACGTCACAGCGCTGACATCACACCATTTAGAATTTATGAATGGAGTAGAAACGCGGACCGGGCAAAAATAGCTTGAATAGTAGTATTTTTAGTTGCATGTGAAGGCTAGATGTAAGATATATTAAGAAATGACCTCTTATAGTCTAGTCTATATTGTTGTCACAAATAACAACATGGTTTGTTATTCAGACTTGCGGATGGGATATGTTGTTTAATGATTTAAGATTATTATAGTACTAATATAGCTATTCAAAATGGTGGTCGGTAGGAGTGAAAGTTAAGGGTTGTAATAAATAATTTGTCCAATAAGTAAATGTTTTTTTGTTGACCACCCTTATCTACCTAGGTAACACTGAAAATGTTTAGAAAATGAAAAACGACTTAATGTAGAAAGTTGCCAATACTTTTATTGTTTTTCGAAGTAATCTCCGTTCCTCTCTACACATCGTCGCATTCGATGGAACCACTGATAAAAGCAGTGGGCCGTTTCTTCCTTAGGGGTCTCTTCTATGCCATAGCGTACGCTTTCACCGCATCTTCAGGGCTTGTAAAGCGAATACCTCGAATTTTATCTTTAGTTCTTGGGAATAAATGAAAGTCGCAGGGCGCCAGGTCAGGACTGTAAGGCGGATGACTCAATATCTCGACACCTGCCATAGTGAAATACTCAACAGTCCATTTTGCGGAGTGCGCTGAAGCATTGTGGTGAAGGAGGATCCTGCTTCGAGGGCGCTGCTGTCGAATTATGTAATAGAGTTTTTTACGCCGGCTTCTTCTCTCGGCCTACACCTGTCTTCTTTGCCGATGAATAGGGATGTCTAGTGTCTACCGATTCAAATTTAATGACGTGGAATAAGTGATACCTGTACCTATGTTGTATTCCAAAATAAATATATATATATTTTTATTTTTATTATTATTATTATTATTTTTTTAATGAATTCAATTACTTTTCACTGTTCACACAATAATGTGGATGGGGCCATTCCTCGTCCAGCGCTTAGAGACACCAAATAACTTCCTCGGCTCCATTAGGGCATGATGCCTGCCTTTGTTAAGTAATTCTAATTTTGTTACATACATACTCAGTTTTATTAATCAGTGCAGCAGTAGCATTCTGCAAGTCCTAACAAAATTCAGTCATGCCGGTTACGGTTATGTTAACAACTGCAAGAACTTCAATATATTTTTGAACTGCTTTCATTGTGTCTTATATGAGCGTAGTGCAAAAGAGCCAGAGGTTGTCATGTACTTATACAGATATTTAAAAAATCAGCTTTTCACTTGGAATTAAAAAATAAATAGAGAGCTATCAAATTACGTGTTACTTCCACAACGTTTACCCGCAAACAATATACACAAAAATACTATTGTAAAAAATAATTTTTTTAACCGACTTTAAAAATGCTCATTTTTTTACCAGTATTTATGCGATGTTATTAGAATTGGATAATATTTTAATATGATGATAACTTTGATAATATGACCTTTTAAAGATTCCAAGCACTGCAGTGTGTCCACAAATTTCTGGGAACATCGAAATTATTTGATTTGAATCAAGCATATACCAACTAACAACCTACATTTTATAAAAAAGAAAGTAAAGTTGTTTTTGAGACGCAACTCTGGACATGAATACCTAGGCCAATAAAGTTGAAAGTTGATGTCAGTTAAATAATTCTAAATTTCTTTTACAGATAAAGATATGGTGCCTGTGAACATACCGCTTAATAATCAAAGATTCTTGTTATACAGATTTGCTTAATTTTTCATATTATGAAAGTAATACAAATAATAAATATTAAGTTCACTGCTCTCACCGCACCGAGTACTCCATACTCAACATTACAATGACAAACGGTACATCCGTTCTTGAGTTAAGTGTTCAAACAAACACGACTTTTTATATTATATTAAGATAAGCTAACAGTAAAAAAGTGACGCCACATCAACTGGTCTGGGCATCAGATTTTCTTATCTGTTTCAAGATTATTTGTTTTTATAAAGGCGATCAGCTTTCTGTGCCAATTTCCTCACTGTGTTTTCTTTCATCGTACGAGCGACTGGTACATAGACAGAAAGGTCCATTGGTAAGCCGGGGTTCGAAGTTACTCAGGGAGCCACACGCTCAAGTCTCGGCTAACACTGCTCATCGTATTTTAATCTACAATGTACTACTAATTTATGTAGATCAAATACTATAAACATGTTACTTAAAAATAACTTAATACTGAAAAACAACTTTAAAATTATAAAGAGATCGTATGTATATCTAAAATTTAGTTTAATCTATGATACTGTAGCTTTAACAGTTATTACAAGATTAGTTAGTACAATGCAATTTTGGTGGCTAATATTATGAATGTTCTATTTCGGAGTTCGCCGGTGTAGTTATAAACCAATTAGTGAGTAGTAGGTCCAGGGTTATAGAGATTATATCGTTTATAAAATATTAGGCTTTAGTATTATAGCTAAACAATAATCGTAGCAATGTCAGCGTGTGATTTTTAGTCCTAAATTCGTTAGTTTATTCGATTGCTTAGAGAAATTCGATTAAACACATACATGGTAAAGGAAAAAATCGAGAAAAACATCCAGCAAAACATCAAAATTCGATAACACGCGTCACCTGTGTGTGTAACATCGTCGATGTGATACATGGTGGAGGTGACCTTTGGCTGGGTAATAAATGATTATTGATTTTAATTTTTTTATTTATTATTAAATAAGGGAATTGAAATAATAATAACACTCGTTATAGCACAGAATCATAGAGTCAACAACTATGGAATGGAATTTAAATATTAGTTCTACAATTATGATGATTTCGTATTGGTATTTTTTTTAAGAACCGGGCAAACGGGCAAGACCCATCTGATGCTGTGAAGCCCATGGACACTCACACAGCCGAAGAGCTCGCAAGTTACCGGCCATTTAAGAATTACACTTTTTTCTGGGCATCTGCTTCCACATAGTGACGGTGCGTGGTAAAAAATACCTACCTTATAAACCTCATAAAAGCCTTCGCCGATTGACGGACATCGATAAAATGCTACGTTTAAGATATTATAGAATTGTTTTAGCATTATCAATTCCAATATAACAGATCAGCCAAATTAAATCCGTAACCGAACCGTATATTTGATACTTACTTATTATACAGCACGATATCCGGCAGCCAAATGTGCTCGGACGGCACATAAAGCTCCGTCACACCGCCGTATTCCAGTGGGTCCCATTTGAATTTGTGATCTTCCCATTCCTAAAACATTTGCACCCTCATTAAACCCTGTATGCGATATATCTACTCATAGTACGAACGTGTTTTGCTAAAATGTTTTGGATAAATGTTATAAGGATTTTTAGTTTTTTTTGTTCCCAGTCCTAACAATAAAAGAAAACATGTCAAAACATAGAAATTCCTAAAAGGTTTATTTGTATTCTACATTAATTATATAAATAATAACAGAAAAAACAATAACTAACCTTAAAATATAATAACTAAAATATATTATTAAAAGGAGTCTTTAGGCAAGGTTCAGAAGATACTGGCAGCGTTTCCCCTTTGAATAGCTAGACTAAATTTTTGTCTGAGGTAGTTGCCAACTCTTCGGTCTCCTGCTATGTTGACTAACCTTTTTGCTATTTCCTTAAAAAGCCTTATAGCGCTAGGACCCCACAGACCAAGGGTCATAGAAATTACAAAATCAGAAGTTTAAATGTAGAAATGGAAAACAGATAAAAGCTAGGGAGGATTGTTATTGAACTAGCTTCTCCTAGCTGACTGATTTATCAATGTAGAGATTACACTAGGTCAGAAACTTAAGTTTGTTTATAAATAAACTTTATAGTAGACGGTAGAGCTGAGGATAGGTTTTTGAAAAATTAACATACTGATTAATAAATTGTCAATTGTTTTTTTTCTGATGATTTATGCTAGTGCTACATATTGCAATAAAATTTCTTTAACAGCATGGATATAATTCGGGTAAAATCAGTTATTACATAATTTTCATAACTTTAGCTGACTTTGATAACGCGAGTGCCGTAAAGCTCTAGAAACGTTTCTGTTAAAAAGTTTTATTGAATATTCCACTTCTACAATGACGAATAAATAATTGTAAACTTGATATTTTCAAAGGATGGCTAGGTATAATGAAAGATATATTAATACTTTATATATTAATATAATTTAGATATGTTTTTTTTAAAGATGAAGAGAAGTAACTGTTTTATTTATGCTTCATACAAAAAAAATCTTTTGGTTAATATCTCGGAAGCATTACAACTTCTTGCGAAACTTGTTTGAACTTGGCAGGCACAGAAGTTCACCTCATTGCCTTAAATCAATGAAAGAGGATAATGTCCTATGCCTCGCAAGGACTTGCGAATTTAAATATATCCCAAAACTCCTAATTTATCCATTTGAAACGTTTATCATCTTAGTTGCAACTTAAGTTATACTCACATGTTCCAACCATACGTTTGTGGTGAGAATTTGATCCTTCAGATTCTGTGAAAGAAATGAACCATCAATATAATTGTATCGTATTTAACATTGTTTAATTTTTTTCTGTGTACAGATAAATGATTGAACGTCGAAGCCACCCGCTGGAGGGACCCTCAGGAAAAGAATCGTGAGAAGACCACAAAATCTATGGGCTTTCGACATAATTAAGGTTTCTGGGGAGAAATGGCTGGAGGAAGCAAAGAACAGGTCCAAATGGAAAGTTCAGGCGGAGGCCTTTAGACACACGAAGTATCAGTTCATATGTAATTTATAATAATATGGAACTAAAGTGCCTATTATTATTATCGTATTTAATATATAGATAGTTACAGGTAAGAGTTGTGTACTAAGTAAATGTAAAACTAACATTTACGATTTCTCTAGTCTAAGTGAAAAATAATTTTCATATTATAGGACCTACCTGGGATTTCAACCCGAGAACTCTTGATTATAACAGAAGACGCATGAATCATGTAAATTAAAATCTTAGTATATTGTGACGAAAGCATACAAATCGACAATATTAAGGTACAAATTCATTGATATCCAAAAATCTTAGGAAAACTACGATAAAATTTAACAACAGAAAAAGTAGGTTACTTAACTCGGTCGCAGTTATGACTTTTTGGTTCCCTATTTCATCGATCTCGACTTGGGTTTGTGCCAAAAATACCCCGGGCCATCAAAATTAATATAAACATATATATACGTTGGCTTAATGTAATCACGTTATGGGACGGGTATCCTTTGAACAAAAATGTTTCATGGTATGCGTATAAATAAATGTCAATATTATAAAGTGTTGTGAGTCGGATGTATATTCGTACTATTATGTATCCCATACTTCATTATACCTATAATACAATTGTTTTGTTATGTAAGTTTATTTTCTGTTCTTTAACGCTCACTGTCCAAGCATTAAAGTGGAAATACTTCTAACATCCAGTTGCGTTTTTATGAAAAAATACTGACCAATTTTTACACATTGTTTCATCTCACCTCACTAGAAAAAAAGTTTTGCCGAATGTCACAGCACTTTTTAGGTTCTCAGTGATGAAGCCTGTATTCACTTTGATTAATGATTAGTGCAGGTGATTAGTGATTTGGAGAAAACAAGTGTGGACAGCGACTGATTAGTGCAGGTGATTAGTTGGCTGCGTAGTAAAGTGATTTGAAGCGTGTTCTATTTTTTTGCGAGTGAACTGCGAGTAGTGTCGTCGCGTGCGCCCTCCCTTCCCCTCACTCGCAGCGTGCCTACCAAACTATATGACAACTGAATTTACTTAACAGAGCCACTAAACAATAACTGGACACTACTTGCACTACACACCTGCACTAATCAATGTCAATTACTAATCACTTGCACTCGCACTGGCACTAATCAAAGTGAATACAGGTCCTATATGTCAAGTACGCGCTATACCTATACGCAGCTATCCCCGTACATACAACTCCAAAAAGGCTAGAAGTTGTACCTGCAAGAAGACCACATGTGGACTGTGAACGTGTCGAGCTTTCCGTCTACAAACTCATATAGTCTATAGACAGTGAACCTGTTAATAAGTGTTTAAAACATATTAAAGTCTTTAGCTGTAGCCCAGTGTGGTTCTCCAAGCACCGGGATTTGGAAGCTAGAGCTTAATAAAAGATGAGTGGAGTTTACGTTATATTCCAATTATGCATTATTTTCCGTTTGACTTAAAATATTATTCCAATCTCTTTATTATGCACGTACTTGCTTAGTATTCAAGAGATGTTGAATAATAATAAACATTATTTCCCAGGCCAAAGATCCAATATTGATTGTGTTAAAAAAGTGTGAGGCTATAGGTATAGTGTGCTTTTCCGTCGTTCCACAGCTGAGCGTTTTTAAGGCAGTTTATGACGAGCACAACCACTATGTGGAACCGGCTGCCCACTGAAGAAAAGAGCGTACCAGTTCTTAAAAGGCCAACGCACTCGCGAGTTCTCTAGCATTGAAGGTGTCCATGGGCGGCGGTATCACTTTACATAAGGTGAGCTTCCTGCCCGTTTGCCCCCTGTTTATAACAATACACACTATAATATCTATATTAAGTCATTACAAGAAAGCAAGAAAATCAAAATCAACATCGAAATATACTTTATTTACATTACAAAATTTCCTCGATTGTCTTGAGATGTTTGTGACGAATAAACTCGAAAACTTATACCAATTCAAAGAATCTTTCACCAATAGAATGCTACATTATTCCAGAATAACAAAGGCTATTTACCTCAAAATATATTGATAAATGAATGCCCAGCAGGGCGAAGCCAGTGAAAATATTCTTACGTAAACCTGCAACCAAGTTGTTCGCTAATTTATACGTATATTCTCATTTAATATAGCGGATATCCATATCAAAAAGCTTTGACGTGAAATAACCCTTTCTACGTCCATACATGTCCAGACTGACAGTGATACATTTTGACTACAATATTAATGGTTGTAGCAACCAGTAACAACCACACTTTCATGACTCGGCGCTTACATCTTTGATTTATCGTAAACATCTGGATGAAGGAATTATTTTTCTTATAAATGGTCTTGATGGTATTAAGATTTATATTAAAATAATCCATTATGTTGTCGATGTTAAATATTTAGAAGATTACGTTGTTTTATTTCAATAATTTTATGTAACTATAAAAAAAGTATCTTTGTTTTTACAAAATAAGATTCTTATTGAGGTATGCTTACTATTTATTTAAAGCATTTTAATAAAATCCACGAAATAAACACATTCTTTACATCTTAATATATATAAATTACGCGACAAGTTGTTTGTCCGCTATGGACTCCTAAACTACCGAACCGATATCAATCAAATTTGCACACCGTGTGTAGTTTGATCCAACTTAAAAAATAGGATAGCTTACGTCTCAATTTATACCCGCAATATTATTTTATTGCAAAATATTTGTTTATTATTTGATAGTCAGATTTCTAACAGATGGCGCTGTGTTGAAAGTACCTACCAACGTTTCACATAAGCTACAATTTAATGACATAACCACCAAAAAAGCATGGTGGTCCCCATGACTGGTGTTCTCCTACCGTTTCCCTTGAATAGTTTGCTACTATGTAAGATTACAAAAACCTTAGCCACAGCAACTTTGCTCTTTTAATTTAATTTTGCCAAAATCTCTGCTACTCAGAGAGACTGGGTGAGCAATACCCACTAAAACCACATCGAGTAGTTCCTACAAACCCGCGTTACAGAGGCTCCGGGGTCGCTGTCCCATTCTACCGGGACCTCAACGGCATGTTACACTCAAAAACCTCCGGTGCAGTATACACATACGAGTTAGGAGATGGGCATATCTTCTCCTATTTACTCCCCGTCTTCTACCCCTAGGATTCGTCCTAAAGCGTTCCCTCTCTCGTTCTGCTGTCTCCTTCTGTAGCATAACATGCTCACAGAAGGATAAATAAGCTACCGCTGTAAATTCGATAAAAATTTATAAAATTTTCGTAAGAGACGCAATTCTAAATATAGAACTCCCGATGTCAAAACAAACATTTCTCGAGCGAGTCCAATCAGTAAAGTGCCATCGACGAACTTGACTTAAGCTTCGTTACATAATTGTTTCGGTTTTAATGTATTTGAATAACATTAGCGTTTAACAACCAGATTAGACACATAAGAACTTTTACAAGATCTAATTAATTTTTCTATGAATATAATAAATATAACTAGCTGACCCGGCAAACGTTTGCTTTGCCGTGTATATTTCTAGGAAACATTTTTTTAGTTCAATAAAAATAACTACCTACAATAATAAAAATAGGGGTTAGTCTTAGAGGGGTGAAAATTAAGGGTTGTATGTATTTTTGTATGTTAAAACAATTTGGGGCGGACCACCCTTAACATTTAGGGGTTTGAAAGATAGATAGTAGTTGATTCTCAGACTTACTGAATATGCATACAAAATTTCATAAGAATAGGTCGAGCCGTTTCGGAGGAGTATGGGAACGAACATTGTGACACGAGAATTTTATATATATTGAGATATAAATCTGATTAATCCGCTGTGTAATTAGTAATTACTAGTAAAATCTAAAATTGGAAGTGCAATATTTTTATTATTTATTTACCATAATTCTCATGTATTTTAGAAAAGATACCTTGTAACATATACTGTAGAAATCGAAATATATGATGTAGTGAAGAGAAAATAGAGACGTACATCGACAATAAATATGGTATAATACGAGTCTGACAAGTCTTCGTCTGCTGCCACATACATAAAAAAATATAATTTCGAAAAATTAATATAACTGTGATATTAAGCAATGTAGTTTCATTCTGTAGTAAATCGGACTTGAGTATATATATATATTATATAATACAATTGAAATAATTAAATAAAAGGGAGGGCAACTGGCGGCCTCATCACTTCTCTTACAGGCCACTACAACGAACCAACCTTATATAATTATTACTGTGAATTTATTAGATTTTTCTGAATAATGTAACAAACCATTATCTCTACGGGAACGACAAAGAACGTTTTTAGCAATGATCTATTTATTTAAAATAGTTTTGGACTTGTTGCATGTTATTTCTCATAACATCTATCATTTAAGAAACCGTATTAAGGAATATATAAAATGTATTCTTAAAGATCTAAGGCCAAAGTAACGATTCAACGTCACAATTTTGTGATACGGGCGGAATGTTAAGTGTTGCGCAAAGAATGTTAACAAAGAGCCCTTACAGAGTGTAGCCGGTTCATTTCAGTGGCTCCACGTCATACATATTAAACACTGTGTACATTTCACTGTACCATGCTTTCTGTTTCAGGAAGACGATTTATTTACTAAATAGATTGACGAACAATAAAACGAATATACAATAATAAAGATGCCTTTCTAGGATAATAGTTTTGTGGAATATGTAATTGTAACACAAAACGAATTTAGTTTTTCAGTTTTATGCATTTTAGAGTAAGGTTTTAAACCTCTTTAAAATATTCACTTAATATTTGATTGAGGTTTTAGTTATCACACTACTGCACTCATAAGTAATTCCAACATATAATAAAAAGTCATAAGGTATGGGAATACGTTATCAGCTTTTGAATTTTGGTTAATTGTAAAAATGTTTATTTGTAGATATTAAATAAGAAACTAAGCCACAGGTCATGCTCCAATTATCAAAAATGACAAAATGATATGTAAATAGCATAATTTTAATTCATCGATCATTAATCGAATTTATATTTAAAGTTTATCTATAAATTCGATTATGATATTTTTTTGTGTATATTGGGTAGGTGTTTGACATTTAAAATACATTACTCTTAATTTTCACCCTTCTTCAACTGAATCCCATTTTTTAATAGTTATAGATATAATTTGTATGGCAACACAACGTTGGTTCAGCTATTCGTTATTTTAATTAAGATCAGGCAATTCGAAATTAATTAGTAGCGATTACAATACTTTTGCTATTTTACTCGAAAAAATCACAAAAGAAACTTACCAAATCTATCAGTTGTGACAATCGTAAGCCAAGTTTCACGAGTACAGTGTTATTAGTTTTGTCCACCGGTCGAATCAGTCTATTATAGTTACTCAGCAAATCATCATACAGCCTCTTCGCGTCGGGATTTGCAAAACAAACATCCAGGGCAAAGAAAAATACAAGGAAAATTAACTTCATTTTCAATATCACTGGATCACCATAATTTTTAAATTTAGAACGACAATAATTCTAACAGAAATTATACAATTTTTTCGCGTTTTCCCATAAGAAAATTATTATTTTTCTCAAAATTGACAGCTCCGCCCTACGAGCGTGCGCGACAACAGCGCCCCTACTGGTTAGTTTTGGCATCAATAAATTGCTATATGCGCAAACTCCGCACACACAGAGGAGAGTAGGCACAGGAGTAATATTATTATTACCACACGGGAATTTTTAAGCAGTAGGCGTATGTAGTACTCAATAACTATTGTATTGTTCATAAGATGACATGTAGAAACCGGGATTTATAAACAAACTAAGCGGCCATAGTTCAATTAATATATAAATTAATTTAGATTATTTCCAAGTATTATTAAAAATGCTACCTACTAGCTGATAATGTTTTTTAATTCAACAATATCCTAAAATTCATATTATTTTTAGTAGACGCTTAAAATCTTTTGATGTTGTCTGAAATCGTAACAAACAACTAGAACATGAATTGAGTACATGGTATATGAAATATTTTCTGTAATTTACTCATGTAAAATATGTTGTTTGTATAATAAAATTCATTATTAATTATGTTTATTCTCTCGATCGATGTGTACGCACGCGCGTTGGTTTTCCCTTCTAAACAAAGTGCGTGTAGGATTTCATTTAACATCCAATAGATGGCGTTTGTTTTGGCTAAGCATAGTCCTAAAATGCGTGAGCATCTTCCGTTTTAATTAATATGGGGAAAATGGTATACAAGAAAACATTTTGTTTCTTGTTGTTATATTGGATAGTCGGTAATATTACCATTTTTCCTCAGCTTTTTTTATTAGAATCATACATCTAAAGTCTTAATGAGCCACTAGAGCGTGTAGCATTTCGTAGCGTGGAACACAATAGTGGTTATGAGATTACGAAACAATATAAGCCTTAGCTTATAGGACATTACTCCACGTCGGTATATATTGCTACCTATACCTAAAAAAACTTTTGCACTGTATCCTAACATGTGAAATGGGAGACTATTTTTGACAAGATCGTGTACTGTATGATGTATCTGTGAAAAGAGTGTGAATAGTGTTCACTTGGACTTCGTTTAATTTATATTCGAAGCTCTTGGTTGTCAAATTTTTTAAATTTGTCGGTTTCAAGTCTGAAATCGGATGCAAAACATTAATATTTTTGTTTAGATAGTGTTGTTGTCCAAACATGGTAATATTAAGTCCAAGTATTGGTCGTAAGCTAAAGAATGTTTTTTATAGATTATACTCAGTTTGTTTTCAATGCTATAGAAAATGTCAAACAAAAAAGTTGAAAAAAAGCAGTTTAAAAGTTGAACATAAAACTGCACATTATGAGTAGCGAGAGAACTTAGCAAAATAAAAGCGACAAGTAAAATTTCGCAGAGCCAAGCGTCTTTAAAATTAAAATTTTTATAGTGCCACATAAACTCGAAGGTGGATTTTGTTACGGATCAGATCAAAGGTTTCACGATAATGCGAACATAAAACGCGGCCACTGAGTTAAACGAAAAACTTTTCGCATTTCTCAAATCTCGGATTGTCGGTTCTTATTTTAGGACGGATCTTGTGATATTGACTGATGATTTATGGTCTGAATGGACCAACTATGCACCAGATACTTAAATAAACACATTATTTATTTAGACCTAGAGTCCAAACTTTGTATATTTAGGATCATAAGTAATCAGGGAGGATGTGACGGGGAAATCCGTAGGCAAACACAGAGGCTACAGCAGCAATGAGCAAACTGACCAGAATATGGCAAAACAGAAAAGTGTCGAATACTAAGAGCAAAGGTATTTTACATATTTTTGAACGGATCTGAGTTCTGGTCAATTTTTGCAGTGGACCGTAAAAAGATTGAGGCATTCGAGATGTGGTGTTGGAGGAAATTGTTGCGAATAGAATCATTGATTGAATCATGAGATCATTTACAAACGGGTGCTTAGCTAGTTTAGCCATTTTTGGAGAGAACCGAAAAGTCTCGACAAGTTGGTAATTGTAGGGAAGAGTGATGTCAGGAGAAGTCGAGGTTGATCGCAAGGCCTAATAAAGACCAACGGGTAGTCTCAACATACCTAATGCACAAAGACAAGACTCTGAGGATAGAGTGATGTGGAGGCAGCAAGCCGACGTATCGGTTAAGGCTTTTCAAGACTGGCACGACCTTCAGTAATAAAGGCTACAAAGAATAAGAAGACTAAAGCATCGTAGCATAGCCCTAGCTCATAATGTATTTTTAAGCAATTTCAGTGAACATAAGCCCTAAGGATTATAAGACAGTTCAGGCTACAGTAAGTGGACTTTAAATGAATTTAAAGATATTTGATTGATTTGTGTCAGACTATAACTGTTTATTTGCTTAATTAGTAGTAGTAGCCAGAATTAAATAAACGAAAGAAAGGTTGCGATAAATTGGCTAAGGAACTGCTAACTGCAGCTTGCCTAAACGAGTTGTTAGCTAATCAATAAATCATTTTGAGACGGAGAGCTCCCTGCCAGTTCTTTACGTAAGTTCTACATTTGGGAACTGGCAGTAAATCAAATTGTCAATCGGGATATATATACGGTATTAGAAACGCGATAAAATCACCTCAACGTTTAAACATTCCGAATACTAAAGTTCAAAGTACAATTGTGTTTCCTACATATATTCAGTAAGACCTTGGCTGTTATTAAAGCAACTCCCGTGTGTATTAAAGTTATTCCTAAGATAATCACAACGATTCTGAGCTTCAATTTAATTCTGCAATTAACAGTCGTTTGGGAAAATGTCTTGTGTCTAAGGTATCTTGGTGCAATGCAGTGCAATGTTACAACGCTTTTTGAATTATGTATGAAACTAGAATGTCCTATTAGTCTAGGAGATAGGTCGCTTTTCACAAAAATATTGGAAATTGGATTTATAGAATGTAATAGCGATACATCAGTGTTCATATGTGTAGATATAAAAGTGTTTATTTATTTCTTTTTAATTGATATTCGATTACATAATGTTGATATTACGAATCTTAGGGTGCGTTCACATCTGGCGAATGCGAGCTGCGCGCGTGCAGTCACGGCAACGGCAATAATCACGGCACGTGCGCCTCTTTAGCGCAACTCATGCAAGGCTCGTATAAGGCGTGCGCGCGGCGCGCAATCTGCACCCACTCAATTCTCGCGCTTACAGTTCCGTTTACTGGCGTGGGCGGAAGGAAGACGCGAGCCGAGAGCGCGCCGCCCGCGCGCTGATCGCGTACGGTGCTTAGGTTGCGAGCGAACTGCGCGCGCGCGGCGCAGGAGCGACGCACGAACAAAAATGCACGCGTGCAGCTCGTAAACTGCTCGCCAGCTGCACATTCGCGGCATATTCGCCAGATGTGGACGCACCCTTACATTTACGTATTTGTTTCAATGTTAATTTTTCTTATATAGGTTAGGTATGTCTATTGCGACTGACACACGTTGATGTACGGGATTAAGCTATGACGACATAACTAGAAGTTTTTTTTTAGTATGATATTGGGCACACGACCTTACAGGCTGCCCAAAACAGGGCCTTCGTCGCAGCCCATGGACACCTAGTTTAGTGAGTGCGTTGCCGGCCTATGAGGGAGAAGTATATTCTTTAATTGGAGGTCGTATCTCCCAGGCAAGACCGGGAGTAGATTCCACAGTTCACCAGTTCTCAAACGAAAATGCCTTGTGAAGCGGACCGTGGAAGCCTTCAAAGTGGTTTTCTCAAACATGTTTTCCTTCAGCTCCTCACACTACGAGTTGTTAATTGTCTTGTTGAAGTATTAGTCGTAAACAGAAACATAATCGATCAAGTATAAATATACTACGAGGTTGAGTATTACAAAAAAATTATACTTAACTAATTTTTGTATATCAATCTCAACAGAGAATCTAAGTAATTTGTGGTCTGTAAGCTAAATTATAATACAAAATTTGATACGCTTAAATACTTTTAAAGTATTTAACAGTCTTTCTACGATTTATTAAAACGCTCCTGAAGTTCCTTGGAGTTAAACTTGTACTATTTTGATTCCGTTTAAAACATTCCATTAGATGAATTTTATAAGTTTTTGATATTCTGACTCAGTTAAATTAAAATATTCCTCGCATAGTTTCATAACAGTTTTATACTTAGCAATTCGGAAATGCTATTGAAACTCGGATCGTGATATCTTTAAAAAAAACGGTTTTGACGTAATTTGTTCGATTGAGTTCTCTACTCATGCCAACATGAATCTATTCAGTAGCGGTTTTACAAATTTTCAAGGTATAGGCTGTGAAGTTTTTGCCAGCCTTGCCTCTACAATTGGCAACAATTTCGTAAAAATTGCACGTAAAATTATGTTATTGGGTTAGATTTTTGATCACAAGATTATACACAAACCATCCAGTACGCAGCCTCCAACCAATAGTAGGACGGACATGTATGGGTTGATAGCTAGGGGAAAGAGGGAATTACATTTTCTGCAATTTCACTCTTTTCACTCATAGTGTGAGCTGACGGTGCACAGGTAGAACTGGTTGGTGGGCAGCAAACTAGTTGTTTTACTCTACAATATGAAAGTTTGCTACACCAAATGTACAAGTGAGAGGGGAAAGTTATCAGCAAAATTTGTTGCAGATTTCTGTAAAACATCAGAAAACCGTCATGCAGAAATCTTTTAGATTTCTAAGAGGTCAAAAATCCCAAGTTTGCCGCTCCAAAACCGCCGCCCTAGGTTCCAGCCTACTCAGCCTGCTGGTAAATCTGCAACTGAATCTATTAAATTACCTCTAGACAGCTTAATATTAATTTCGATCGAACTAACGGTGTTTCGTGTATTGAATAAAGAAAGTGTTTGAACCAACTCAATCACTTAGGTGTTAAATATTAACATTTAAAGAAAACACTTTTTTACCGGATTGAAGTTATGTATTATTATAAATTTACAATTATTTTACACCTTTTGTCTCCAG